TCACAAATTACATGACATAAATGTGTCAGCAATTACATGACATAAATGTGTCAGCAATTAAGTGTGTCAGCAATGAAATGACATAAATTTGTCAGCAATTAAATGTGTCAGCAATTACATGACTTTAAATATGTCAACAATGAAATGACATTAATGTGCCACCAATTACATGACATTAATGTGTCAGCAATTAAATGTGTCAGCAATTACATGACATAAATGTGTCAGTAATGACATGACATACATGTGTCAGCAATTACATGACATTAAATATGTCAGCAGTTACATGACATAAATGTGTCAGCAATTAAATGTGTCAGCAATTACATGATATTAATTGACTTGACAAAGTTTGAGAACCTGTGTACTAGAGCTATTCAGTGCAGTTTACTACATTTTACAGGTCCAGGTCATAAAGCAAACATTTTTGCTATCCTGTGGCTTGCTGAATTATTATTTTCTTTTAAACAAGAAAATTGTATTCTAAAAGTGTGTATCTTGTACTACCTGGGATGGGAAAAATTTCCCGGTGTGTATCTTGTACTACCTGGGATGGGAAAATTTCCCGGTGTGTATCTTGTATTACATGGGATGGGAAAATTTCCTGGTGTGTATCTTGTACTACCTGGGATGGGAAAAATTTCCTGGTGTGTATCTTGTATTACCTGGGATGGGAAAATTTCCCAGTGTGTATCTTGTACTACCTGGGATGGGAAAATTTCCCAGTGTGTTTCTTGTACTACATGGAATGGGAAAATTTCCCAGTGGTATCTTTTACTACCTGGGATGGGGAAATTTTCCGGTGTGTATATTGTACTACATGGGATGGGAAAATTTCCTGATGCGTATCTTGTACTACCTGGGATGTGAATATTTCCCAGGAAGTCTTTTTTTAACAAAAATTCCTGCGGGATCCCAGGAGAGAAACCCTAGCAACCACACGATACTGGCAGTCAGAGAATTCCGCTGCAGCTTAAGCTAAGACTCATTCAATTGGTCTTCACTTGCTGGGTTTGAGGGTTGTAGAGCAGCGATTCTCAAACTATTGTCCGCTTTGTTCATTTCAAATAAATGAACGGTTTCTGCTGCTAAGAATTAACCTCACGCAGTGTAACCAGCCAACGCGCATTAAATATAACCGACGTTATAATCAATAATCTGGGTAAATCGACAATTATTTTTTATGTATTCATAATGAATCACATGGTAAAAAAATTAGCATGAGTTACGAAGACATCAGAAGATAAAAGCCACAATTATTGTGTAAATTTATATATGAAAATAAAATTGATTTGAGGACACTGTGAACAATGGGTACATTTTTCACTCTGGCAAGAGCATCCTTGGTAAGACTTGATAGGTAATGTAATCAATGAATAAATAATTTATAGATGAATGTGCATTCCTTAAGTAAAATGTGTAAACTACCATACCCAATGTATGACATGGTCATACTGACAAGAATTGATTAGGATTATATAACAGCATAAAAGTACAACATACCAATGGAACAATCCTATCCCAGCAAGAAACTTCAGAAAATTCTACCCTAATACTTCACAGAACAAATACTTAGTGACCTATGTGCCGGAGCCATGAGGGTTCTAGATACCTGTATCACAAAACTAAATCTTGATTTTTAGAGGGAAGCAGAGGGAAAAAAGGGGATTGGGAAGTCAACTTTTAAAAACGATTGGCAAATAAAATAAACCAGGTAGTTAATGCTTTTTGATTATGACAAATATAGATGGGGATTTGTGAGATACTGCAGCGGTTTTAACTATGTCCAGTTCCAAAATGCCAAAACAACTGCATGGAAATTTACAGCTTTAACTTTAATAACCAAATGGCAGGCATTTTTGTAAGTGATTGTGAACTGCTACAAATGTGAAGCTGCATGCAAGATGACTTGAGTAAATATTAGTACTAATGCTACACTTGGCAAAGATGGTATTCTAGGATATAAAATCTGTGTCAAACTTATATATTTACCAGATGAAAGAAAGCATCTTAAATAAAATATGCTTTACATCTTAAAAATGATTAAATTTGAAATTTCTGTTAGGTAAATTATACTTATAACCAAGTATTTCATAAATGATTGTGAATGAAGGTTTTTAGATGCGATTCTTTTATAAAAGAATCATAAAATTATGAAAAAGAACTTCCTAGGTTTGATGCATCTCTGTAGATATATTTATGCATAAGCATTGCATATTATTCACTTTTCATAATACAACATTTAAAAAATAATATACAAAGGCTTATAGAGTAGTAAAAAATACAAAAATACATCGATTTAGTGTACATATAGTATATAGTAACTTACCTACAACAATCCCAGGCAATAAAGCACAGGTATGTTGATAATGGATAATATATTGATAGCAATACAATGATTCATTAATTTGAAAGACTTGCCGAAATAACCCATAAACATTCAATCAAAATACGGTGAAATAAATCAATCAAAATACAGTGAAATAAATCAAACAAAATACAGTGAAATCAATGCACGTTAACAAATAAATCAATGAGAGTTACATCAAATGAAAATTGATTTAAAATCTGCAGGAAAATGTTTCAACCTAAAGTAAAAATAAATCCATTAAAATCACACATCTCACGTATGAACCGGTACTTTTTTTGAAATATTTATGTTAATTTTTGGTTTTGTTTATTATCTTTTATACGTAAAATCTAAATCTGTGCCTGGCTTTAAAATCTATCTGTCTTTTGCATATTCTAGTGCACAACCTGGCCTTGCACTGTTTCTGTCTCTGTTTTATTTATTATAAATTTATGAAATTAAATTCAAGTCCACAAATAAAACAGTGGTAATAAGTAGAGCTGAGCCCTGACCCCTTCACAACCAGAACTATACTTCTTCCATTGGAACAAAAAGCCAAGGGCGAGAGAGTGATGCTGATGAATTGAGCAACTCTCCCTCACTTTTAACAAAATACAGCTCAAGTCAAGACTGCTACTCAAGTTAAAGCCTTGGTCATCTTCACATGCGAAGGACGAACTATATAATTTAATTCAGGTAAAAAAAATTTTTAAAAGTGTGTAAAAAATGATGTACTGGTTCTATAAATGAACTTTTCATTTCTCCCCATTGGGTGGAAGACATCACAGAAAATAAGATGTTAACTCTTTTCTTTTCACCAACCGTTCCATTCTACCCCCAGGCCCAATTGGGTATGTGCCAGGTGTGCTTATACTCAGCTTTTCCTGGCAACCTGGTCAGTACCCAGCTCAGCCCTGGTATTTAGATCACACAAACTTTACATATATTTTAAATATACAAGATAAATGCAGCTATTCAAATTTGTTTGGGTTATTAAAAAAAACTCATCTCAAAGAGTCAGAGCATGTAGGTGTCATAAATCAAAGTGTATAAAATTTATATCAAAGAATGTACAGGACTCAGTCTCAAAACAGAGGTAGGAAGAATTTTCACTGGCAAAATCGTATAAAATTGTGTAAACAAAAAAACGGTGTTGTCATTTCCAACTTGTTTACAATATAGAGTTAAGCTTTAAGCTCCTAGCTGATATAACTTTATCTTGCAATAACAGTAACTTAATGAAACAAATCATACAATTGGCATTTAACAGTAACTTAATGAAACTAATATACAGCAATCGGCATTTAACAGTAACTTAATGAAACTAATATACAGCAATTGGAATTTAACATACTCAAATAAAATTACTATCCACTTTTCAGTTCACATCTTTGGTGTATAAAATGTCTAGAATCTAAGTCTGGACAATGTAAGGTGGAGATACTGATGATTTTCAATTCAATTTCTTTTCCTATTTCTTATTGCAACATAGATCGGCGTCTCTCCCCAAATTTGGCAGAAATTTAGCCAAATAGAATTATGGACCCCATGCTTTGGGGAGTGGGGGGCGGGGGGGTGGGGGGGCCAATTTGATTGTTTAGAGGTGGCAATTCCAAAATGAGTTCCAAAATCTAGCATTTTAAAACCAACCGTCTACTAGAATTTAACTTATATTTTAAAAGGAGAATTGTTGAAGTCTCATTTAAAATAAGCGTTCATTAAAAGTGTTGTAAAAATCTGTTGATTTTAAAAGTAGTCAAAAGTCTCAGTTGGTAATAAAATGGCTGCCTAAAATTGATGAAAGATGAGAATCCAGAAATGCTACGTGAGCAGTGTGTTATTTATGGGGAAAACTTGGTAGCTAAAAACATTTTGCTTGTTCTAAATGAAGTACCCGGTACTAAGTTCAGTTCTAAAGTGTATCAGTGCTATTAAAGCTAATGCCAAATTTGAACATCTCTTAAAGCTATTTTTTTTTTAAAGACTTTTACTTCACACTGAATTAAGATGGTTTTCAAAAGGGAATTGCTTGAAAAGATTTATGCAACTATTTGATGCTCTTGAAAGTGACAAACCTGAAATGAATTATCTGTTAACGGTCGATAGTAAAGCATTTGTGAATTATTTAGCCTATATCTTTGAAATACTCAATTTATTACAACTTCAAGGAACAAATAAAACTCTTGTTGATGCAAAAGTCAAAATATTTGGTTTCATTACCTTTATTGAATTAAGTCAAAAAATATTTACAACAAAATTTAGAAACGTTTCATTGGCCTCAAAAATGTGAAGTCACTGATACCGCTATACTTGTTGTTGATCATTTGAAAATTCTATTTCTATCGGCTGATTTAAAAGAAACATTTTCTTATTTGAAACAAATCGATTTTCCAACTTGGATGATGCAGTCAATTTTAGCGGATTTCTCTGATACTTCAAATATGCAGTATCAAGAAGAACTCGCAGGAGACAGGAATCAAATATCTAATTCAACCAAATGTGCCAAAAAACTATTGTTGCCATTTCCATCTTCATATTTAGCTGAATGTGGATTTAGTGCCATAAATGATTTGCTGCAACAACAAAACAAAACAAAACAAAAAAAACAAAAGAAAAGAAAAAAAAAAAAAAACAACAACAAAAAAACTGGGCTTGATACAACGCAACGGGAGACTTGAGACTGACGCTAACTTAATTGGAACCTAACATAAAATCTCTTATAAGCAAGCACCAAGCACAAAAATCTCACTAACGTTAACAATAAATAATTACTAATAATTAAAATAATATAGAAACATCTTTCATTAATTTTATTTCCCACTTGAATGTCAGTTCTCCTTATATTATTTGAAAATTTACTTACTATGTTTCCTCACCAATTTCCTAGTCATTTCTTCCTAAAACCATCATTAAAGTTTCTTCAGTGAACAACCATATTTTTGAATATTAAAAATTATGTATATGATACATGGGAAAAAGTTTGAAAAACTGCCTTATATACAATTAAGTATGGTCTACTTGTTTAAAAGATATTTTAAATGCCTTATTGTTGGAGAAACACGGTATTCGGTTATCAGACTAACCCTAACCTAAACCTTGTCATTTTGTCACCTTCTCATTTTGTCACGTTGTTGTTTTGTCACCCTGTCGTTTTGTCAACTTGTCGTTTTGTCACCCTGTTATTTTTTCACCTTGTCGTTTTGTCCTTTGTCATTTTGTCTGGTTACCCATCCGGACATGTGCAGTCCACCACTTTAAAAAGCACTGACTTAGGTAAAGTAAATGTAAAGTCTGACCAGAGTTTCTTAAATGGATTGAGAAATATTCAACATAAATAGGATCCCTGATGTGTAAGCTCAAACAGATCATCAGCATCTCACTGTCACAAAACAAGGTTTTTAAACAGGGAACTCATTTGGTGATTAGCATAAATTCAGAAGATAATCATAGTAAAGAACACAGTGGGGTGTCTTGTTGTAATTGTAAGCTGATAGAGTTTTAGAAACACCGACTGAAAAATAAAATTTGACCAGTATTATGTTTATAATTTCTGACTTTTAACTTGACAAAAGCCCTGGATTTATTAACTGGTTGAATCCTTCTTTAAATTTAAAATATATTATCATCTTCATAAATTTTTGAATTTAATTATAAAAAAATAGTTTACTTGAATGCTGTTGAAAAAAATATAACACATCCCCATCTTACACCTGTGTAAACTGATTGGACTAGAGAGGACTACGACTACCAGTGGAAAATGAACTCTTCTGGATTCTTCTGGCCCATGTCTAACGTCGTATAAAGTCCTATGTGATAAAACAGATTTGGCTCCACCTGAAGTGTTGGCATGGAATTATGACTTATAAAGTCAATGATGGTCAGGTCTGTGTGGTGATTTCTGTGTTTGTGTGCCAGAAACTGGCCCAGTGGCTTGACAACAGACAGCGGGTACAACATGGCTTGGGTACAGCAGCCTTCGGAGCTCTGGAGTCTGTACAGGTGTCTGGATATTCTGCGTAACTCGATGATATTCTGTCTGCCAATCATCCAGCAAGTAATTAATGTTACCAGAAATCCATAAACAAAAACGGACCGCTTGGTGTGGGATGAGGCGTGCCGGTAGGAAGACAGGTGAAACACAACACAGCCGATGGAAGCACCGATTACACTTAGACTTAACAGATCCACAATTTTATTCAACTCAAATCCAAAGCCTTGCCACTTGAAAGGAAAATAGAGCTTTAAGAATCCAAAATTCTGCGATCCATGTGATGTCAGGTTCAGTCTGAAATTGATCAAATGCTCTAGGACAGTAGGAAAGTCTCTCTGTGGAATAGCATCATCTTCAATCAATAGTATAAACTGAGGATTGAGAGAAGCAGCCGTGAGAAGGCAAAAAGTGTAATCAAAAGTTTCCTTGTGGTACCTAGATTGATGATTCATAAAATCCCTAAATAAATTTGAGGAGTTTGGAATTTTCACATCCGCAATCCCCAAGGAATTTGAACCAAACCTCTCTGTATAAGGCATAAATGGATAAAGATTTACAGCATCAAAGTGTGCTTGAGGGAAAACATCAACATTACAGATAAAAGGTACACTACTGTTGAAAAATGCATTGCCCTTCAGCATAGAGTCCATGAATGAAGTTGATTGTAGCAAGTATCCCAAACTTTCATGTTGTTTTGTCTCCTTAGTTCTCTTCACTGTTATTATACCAACAGCAAACATTATTCCACCCTGACTGAGTCTGTCCTTGTAAAGCTGCAGTGAAGAATTTTCATCTAAATTCTGAAAATATTTTTTGGCAGATGCTAACCGAATGTTGTTGGCTGAATCTACGACGTCAAACAAGGAGTCTTGGGTATGGAGGAGGCTGTAGATCTGAGAAAACGGCAGGAGGCAGCAAAGCAGTAGCAGAACTGCTACATATGACAACACTAAGGTGAACCAATGAAACATCATTCTCCTTTTTCATATTTCAAGTTTGCCAATATTTGGTTTTGAGTTCTTTTAATTTTCCTTGAGGTCTCTCCTTATGTACAGGCACTGTTTTTGTCTAGTCATAAATATTTTAAAATCTGTAATTAAAAATAAAATGCTTTTACATTTCTTCTTATGCTGTGAACAAGGGCGATGATTCTTCAAATATGAGTTCAATGAACCTGAATGGGACTTAGTCTGATAAAATACTTGATTCTAAATATAGACTACCTTATTATACAGCTATAATCACTTTGACACAGCCTGTATAGCAGTATATAGCAGGGTTCTTCTGGTAATATTCCCTCAAAGTGTTTTTTTCAAATGCATTCACCCTAACCTTACCAACCTAAAAGTCTACTTTATAAGGTGAAATTTTAAAGTAATTTTGTACTTGTTTTGCTCCATTTACGTTCTTTGTTGGATTCTCTACCCTTTGTTTATTTGTAGATTGTTACTAGAGACAACTTTTCTTTTTTTAATATTAATACACGGAATGTTTTTGATCGATGGCTTTTTAAAATCAATATTTCATTGGGTTATATAATTTTTCAAAACAAGGCTATTTGCAGGCATGTCCGTCTCATCCTTTTAAAAGATTGATTTTGATTTTTCTTACATCGTTTGGATTTTAGTTTTGGTGGAACCTGCAATAAAGTATGTAGTAAAAGTGAAACTGTTAGTTGGCTTTTCATTATTTTGAACATTTTAGAAATAATTTTAATCCTTTAATAAAAATATATATTATTTTTCAGTACAGTACAGTACAGTGTGTAGCACACAAACACATCGTTCTAGGGTTTACATAATGACATTAGGTAATAGATTTTAGGTTTGAAGATTTATGTTAAGGGGTAATAAATTTAGGGGTTAATATACACTCAAGTTAGTAAGTTAGAAAGGATTTCATTTAGGGGTGAATTTAAGTTTGAGTTAATGATGCTAACATAACATTCAGGTTAGGTAGAGTTGTAGATTAGATGATTGAAGGTATTTCTAAAAAAAATTATTTCATTAAATTTTAAGGCTGTGACTATTCGCACCCAGGTATTAGAAGTGAGTGGTTGGGATTAAAAAGTATTTAAAATATTATTGTTGGGTTTTTAAGACAAAATGAGGTATCAAATGAAAGATAATTGAATGGACTATACTATATGTTTGTAAACTTACTTTTTCAGTTTAACTAACTAAATTAAACTACCACAACACAAATGGCATCCGAATAGCATTTAGTCAAAATGGCCCCAGACACGAAGTGCCGCCATTCCCACCCTGGTCCCATTAGACAATGCTATTCAAATGTTTAATTAGGAGTTTTCATCACTTAAAAAAATATTTTGTATCGTTTTTCTTCCTCTTCATTTTTAATTTCTTCTCACCACAAACACAGTATTAGCAGCCAGTAGCAAATGTGTTTCAGTTAAGGGAGGGAGCGACTGCAAGCCATACACACTTCTTGTCGCATATATTATATATTGTCATAGAGAGATATAATAAAGTTGCTCCATTTGCCACGAAATTTAAATACCAGCTAACATTACGAGAGGAAAAAAAAGGGCGGGGGTGGTGGTATTTAAATTTTAAGTAACATAGTGCTCTTATTTTAATTTCTCGCGGTAAGTAGCTAAGACTGCACATTCTCATTCTGTTTTTACCCCTTCCCATTTACACTAAATAATTTGTACTTGCTCTAACCCCCGTACCTAGAATCTATGTAACTATTATTTTATCAATTCTCCCATAATCTTTTTGTTTCAAGTTTATGATTAATTTCCTCATTGAGCCCGATCAGCCAGGAATTACGTCTTACGAACTGCAAAATATTTACCATTTTTGGACCAGGAACTGGGTTTGTTTTGGTCATACCATTTTACGAGATCATCACAAGGTATACGAGATGAGGTCCCACATTCACATTTGCTTTTAATTTTCATAGTTGTCAAAATAAATGTTAAAAAAACAATTTCATACATTCATACGTTTATTTAAATTTAATTATTTTTTTTCCAGTGATACGGTCATTCAAAAAATCGGAATTGCTAAACTCAAAGAGAAAATTAACAGTGAAAAGGAAATAAATGGTTAATAAACACTAATTAATGATTATTTCATGTAATACCGGTGGTAGGGGCCGTCCATAAAGTACGTCACGCTCCAGAGAGGGAGGGGGGGTGTAAGAAAGTGTGACAGTTTGTGACAGGGGGAGGGGGGTCAGGCCATGTGTGACGTCACACATCTATTTTTTTAAATTTTATTTCTAATATATTTTTTTATTTTTTTAGAAGAATTTAAAAGCTTTAAAAATTATTTTCAAAAATTTTGTGAAACATTTGAAATAGTTTTATGTCAAAATAGCATGAAATAAGTATCTCCTGAATGTGTTGTGCACGATTCCTCTCGCTAAGAGCGTTAGTAAGCTGTTGCGAACCCTTGTTTATGTATAGCCTTCCCGAGATCAACAGGAGTTTTCAAAGTAAAACTATATGGTCTTTATTGTCCATCTTTGCATACCAGCTTACTTGATCGAATTTGCAAAGTATGTCTCTTATACTTTGCCTCACAAACAATGTCGAAGAAACATGCAGGACAACATGGAGATCGGGCTCGGGAGAATGTGCCAACCCAAACTGTTCCAGAATCAACTCAGATAAAACGCATCAGTCCTTTGAAAATCACTGCTAGAAGGCAAAGAGAACTCATGGCAGTTATTGCCAGAAGAGAAGATGCACATTCAGAGGATGTTGAGTGGCTAGATGAGGATGTTGAGTGGCTAGATGAGGATGTTGAGTGGCTAGATGAGGATGAAGTGGATCTGTCTGCAATTATCCTTCCAGGAAACGATGATGGTGAAAGATTAATGCCAGTCGTAACTATGGATGAACACTTCACGTTGAATGGATGATGTCCAGTGAATATTTTGGAATTAAACATAATTCACATGCCCAGAATAAAGCGATTCAATATAGCACAAGAGTTTGTCACTTAATTTGTCAATCTAGTCTTTTTTTAGTCAAATTGATCTGTTTCCTTTTTATTATTTAATCACTGGGTGAGGTCAAGTTTCGCTAATCTACTTCTTATCATGTGTAAAAAGCTTGCATAATCGAAAATTATCTAAAACTTGACCTCACCTATTGTAAATGAAAAAGCAGCAGACAAATGATGTGTATCATATAATTATCTAGTCTAATTTTTGCAATTTTGTTTTTCAAATTCAATCTAGATTGAGTTACTGCTTCATGAAATAACTGTGACAACTGTTGACAATTAACTATTCTACTATTAAAGTCATTTTAATAACGTGATAGTTTTTTTAAGTGGAAATTTTATATTTTAATATTAGTTTAATAGTGAAGTGTGTTTTAGATTAAATTTTAATTAGGTGTTTTTTTTTTTTTAAAATTTTGTTTGAATGTGTGACGTACTTTAGGGGGGAGGGGGGTCCCTGATTTGTGACAGTTTGTGACAGGGGGGAGGGGGGTTAAAATTGTCAAAAATAGCGTTACGTACTTTATGGATGGCCCCTAGGATGGTTTATCATTTCCCGGGGTTTTGTTTATCCCAGGCAAACGAGAGTAGAATTTTATTCATGCAGGGACCAGGGGTAAAGTTAATTTAATTAAAACAATATATCATAACTGAATTAAACTATAAATGAGTCGATTTTTTTTTTTTTAATTAACTTCAATTGTAATAGCCTATTAATGACTTTTCTTTCTTTTTTTTTTAACGTTAAGGGTTAGTTGAGAGGTTGGTCGTTTGCTGATTGTAGACTATTTGCTTCATTTTTCACGACTTATCCCCCAAAAAATGGAAAACTAACTAATAATATTATACTTGTTAAGCAAAAGTCGGATATAACCGCCTGTAGAAAAGAAAATTACCCCTTAATGAGATTTGATTTCTTTACGGGTCGCTACTTCTAATTTTGAATTACTAAATATTTACAAGCAAATTTTTAACAACTTGTAACAAGGATTTCGTTTAGAAGAAAAAACACAACGAGGAATGTAAACACATGAATCATGTATCTCTATACTGATTATAACATTATGCAGTGGCGTAGCTAGGGGAGGGGGAGGAGGGTCCAAATTCGAAAGTCCCCCCGGGCCCCTACTTGAGAGGGGCCCCCCAAAGGCGTGTCCAAAAAAATTGTTTACATTAAATAATGTCGAATGTCAAAATGCAGGGGCCCCTAAAGAGGCCAAGCCCCCCCGGGCCCCCAAATCCCCCCAATCCCTAGCTACGCCACTGACATTATGTCTTACTAAGTTGATTTTAGGAATACAAGTGTTTTTTTTTTAATTACACTACATAATATAAGGGTAGCCTGACACATGAACATTTTGGGATGTCAAGTTACTAGAGCACAGGTTTCCACTCTATGGGCGTGGGAGGTGACCTCAAATGGGGTTGTAAATGGATTTATGTCGGGTCGCCGGCCAAAATAATAGACAACGACAACGAGAAGTAGCCGAATGCTTTTAAATATTTTTTTTTTATTTTTTCATTTGTGTCTTAAAGTTTGAGTTACAATTTCAATTATGGGATTAAAAATGTCGCGAATTACATTATACTGGAAAATTAAGTTTGTATTAATATATTTTCTTTCCCAATAACTACTCTATTTAAAAGCACCTTCGCTTCTATGTGAATACTGTCGTGACTGCAAACCGAGCTACTGAACTTAGTCATTCCGTGCAGTTAAACTATATTATGCACTGGCGTATAGCAACAATTTGTGACATTCTGGGACGTGCTGAAATTAAAATAAATTTTATAAAAAAGAAAGTAAATTGCATTCTAAAAGTGTATTACAGGGATTTCTCGGGGTGGGAAAATTTCCCGGAGTGTCTTTAGTTCACCAATGTGCTTGACCACGGTAGAGAAATGTTAACCGGCGCTCAGTTGGCAAATAAGAGATTCACTGCAGTTTTAAAATGTGAAAATTCATGTGCACAATGCATGCCTCAAAGTTTGGATGTTTCGAGAGCCGTTGCGTGGTCGCTGCAACCCCTGTGGCTGCAGAGGGCCTCGGGTAGTAAAGGCTTTAATTAAGGGGTACAAAGTTGTGATATTGAAAGAAAAAAAATGAAAAAGAAAATCATTTTAAATTGCACTGAATAGCTAAATATTAGACTACGGTACCAGTCTCTAAAAATTGAAAATATTTTTAACCCACAAATTGTCATAATGCGAATCACAAGCTTTACAATTTACATTTGTTAAAAGGGAGAAACTTTCGTACAAGAGTTTTTTCCCCTTGCAGTTCCTTAATATCCCAAAACTAGGTAAAAATATCAAGTTTTTGTATCGTTAAAATTTTGACACCCGCCCCCCTCATCCCCTATCATAGAAACAAGAGATCGGAACAGGGGCGTCATTTCATGCTTTTTCAAGAGTGTGGGGGGGGGGTGCAAAACAAAGCTTTGTCGGCTTGTTAAGATATTTATTACTGGTGATGCCACGGTAGCCTACATCGCAATTTAAATAAAACCTGCAAATTCAAAAGGGGGGGGGGGCAAATGACGTCCTTGTGTAGGGGGGGGGGCTGGCAACGAAATATTTTTTTTTTCTTTTGCGGGGGGGGGGGGGGGGGCTAAAAAGCGGGACACACTTTTTGTGTAGGGGGAGGGGCTGGCAACGAAATATTTTTTTTTTTCTTTTGCGGGTGGGAGGGAGGGTGCTAAAAAGCGGGACACACTTTTTTTCTCCCTTGACTTTTAGCAAACATTGGAAGTGAAAACCAAACGTTGTTTAAATGCTACATTCCCGGTATCGTCTTTCATTCAGAACAAGTTTATAGGCGTATGGGGAAGGCAAAACCACTGAGATCAAACGAGCCGCCAAAACTAGCGCGGTTTGCAGCTAAAATGGGATGAGCCACGGTTTTGGTTTTTTATTTTTATTATTTTTTTTTTTAATGACGTAGTGAGGACAGAAAATAAATCTTTTGGGTTTGGGTACAACTGGAAAAATATATAACAAAACAACAAATCAGTTGGATTTTAAGGGCAAAATAAAAAAAGTTACATTAAAAAATTTGAGGGGAAAAAAAACAACTAATTTATCAAAATGTATAACTCATGAAAAGCAGACGTCATATCTAGATTAACTCTGAATGCGTTTTTTTTAAAAATTTTTTTTTTTTTTTTTAATTTTTATGAATACAAATTTAAGTGTGGTTTACTTCTAGACTCGGTCTAATAATCTGTTTAAAATTTTAAATGTTTTTTTCAATTATTTATTTTGATGCTAGCCTCGGCTTTCTCGCCTGATACTCGAAAGATTGAGACTGAATACGAGCCGCTATCGGTGTAAACTGAATGGTCAAAAGCGACACATCATTTAACTTGAACTAGATTAATTATACAATTCGGTTTCCATTTGAGACGTTTTGTGCTGTTTGGACCTTTGAAATAATAGTAGGTTTCCTTTGCTAATGGTAAGCAGCATGAGAAAATTAATTATTGATGTTTGTGTTTTTTTGTATGACTTAGATTTGATTAGATTTTGTGCTGGTCAGTAATGTAGAAATTACAAATGGTATATTTACATCTCAGAATTAAGCATTGTGTTCCCGACCCCCGACTTTTAAATTATATTGAATTCACCAATAGTCTTACCGATGGGGGTCACCTAGCATTCGTCAGAGGCACAGATGTTATCGTAAATTATCATCTATCGTTTCCAATATACAAATTGTGATCAAAGTGTTTTTTTTTTGTTTTTTTTTTTTTAAATATTTTGTTACCGGTAGATTTTTCGAGGAGAGGAAGTCACAAGCTCTAGCTAGGCCACTGAACCGAGCTAAAATCTTAATAGGTGTATTGTTATCACAGACTCAAGACGATGGCCGCTCAAAAGAAAAGTCTCATTTATATAGTTGAATTACTTCCACCCCTGATTCCAACGCACCACTTGCAACAGTGAAGTCTGAAGAGTCCTCCTTAGGAGACCATGAAATGATGGAACAACACGCATGATGTAAAACTCATAAATTCATGTATGTGTCAAAATCCATCCCTGCATTTTTAAATTTATGAAAAAAAAAACTTCCAGGTAGCCCCCCTCCCCCTANAAACCCAATACAGGACATCAAAGTGAAAGTGACCGGCAACTTTTTATCTATAACATATTAATGTGTTATAGTTTTATTTCAAATTTAATCTATGTGTGGTGTGTCGGAAAGAATATATGTTATCATTTCAGATTATGTATATTAAGACCAAGCAAATACTTGGACTCCCGATCAAAATCAGCCCGTGAAGTCATTGGGGTTGCCCCCCCCCCACCCCTGTTTTGACATGTCAACATATTTGTTTAAAATTAAAGGTAGGCTCAATACCCAGTATGTCACATTGCCAGAGCCTTCTCCGCAGCTAAATTTTAGTAAAATTCACTGGTCCCAAAAGTGTGTTTAAATAAAAAAAATATTTAAAAAAGTATCTAGGGTACACAATCAAACATAACTCAAGAAAAAAATATACATACATGAATTCCGTCCCCTTTCCTTTAGGGAGGTGACAAATGGCCAAATTTTAAAAGGTAGATCAAAACATCAACAAACTATAAAAATTTTTAAAGATTTATTGCATATTTTATTAAACATCGCGAACTAAACAAAATAAATACACTTGTACTTTACATATACTTGGCAAGTTCAAGTCATATAAATTACCAATTGTTATAGCCCAGCCCTGGGTGTAGACCTTGATGACCTCAATTTTTGTTCAACGTGGAGTTGTATCATAGAGCTAACTCTCCTATGTTTTTATAGCTGCGGAAACCAATTAACTTGTCCTTATTTTAGCACGGGTTATCCTTTAAGCTGCTCTTTAACTTACTAGAAGCTTCTAAATAGAGATGGATAATTCTTCCTTCCCCTTCTAGACTGAAGGTTCAATTCTAAAAACTTCTCCCCCCCCCCTCCGGCTATAAATAAGGTACACATACAAGATATAAGTGAGACAACTGCTACAGGAGCCTTACCGGTACACGAGTATCATTGTGTGTGTGTGTGTATTAATATTTGTACATTTCTATGTATTCACATGTTGTAAGTTACAGGAGCTTTCATTTCCATATATTTGTATGTGTGTAACCTCCTTTCTTTGTTGTGATTAATCATTTAATGGTGCTGTCCTTTACTTATGCACCGTTTGTAAACCAGCCACTTTAAAACAACATTAACCTTTTAAAAACTAATGGCTGCACGTAACACAATAGTAAAGTTAAAATGTTTCAAGCAGGGGTTTACAAAATGAGTGCAGGGACTACCACAGGGTATACATGTAATTACTATAATCATGCATGGTATGCTAGAAATAAAACACCAAATAACCAATTTTTTTTAGACATCCAATACTGGTGTATAGGGATTTTTTATTATTTAGCAGAATCCAAAATTTAAGAAAACCCACATAGGGTTTTTTTAAATTTATGTAACTGAAACCTTTGTCTAAATATGTTATATTGCCATACAAAGTGTTCCAGCAGGCCTTTTGGCAGTGAACCAGTCTGACAATTGAATGAGAATGAGAACATAAATTTTTGGCATCAGCTCCAACATGAAGAGTAAAAGAGGAATGTTATCAAATGAATCTCAGCTCCATCATCAGGAAATATCTGCACTATCTGTCGTTATTTGAGAGTTCATGTCCTCAAAGGATGCCCAGTTTTCATCTATAGTAGTAGCAGTAGTAGTAGCAGTAGTAGCAGTAGCAGTAGTAGCAGTAGCAGTAGTAGCAGTAGTAGTAGCTGAGTTTAATATAACGGCAGAAAGACTGTCATTTATTGTAATGATCTTTTCTTCCTGAGAAGAGCACTCAGAATTTGATGGGTTCCTAGAAGTCCCTGAATAAAATTGTGTCCCATCTCTTAGAGGTACTCTTGTGTCTCTAGAACTCTTGGCATCTGCTTGTGTCACCTCTGTAAGCTGCAGAGTTGAGCCACTGGATGCCATACGAGAGGAGTCCCCATTTTTCTTCTCTAGTATTTCCTCAAAAGTTTTGTCCAAAATATCTTCCTTGACGAGTTCAAGAATTTCTTCAGCATTCAAAGGCTGTTTTTCTGGGTGTAGTTTTCTTTGCATAAAGGCCAGCGGTGTGGTAGGCTCATCATTGGCGGAAGTGCCAGTTGAAGTAAAACTGTTGATGTTTGTGTCGTCTATGTAGCGTCTCATTTGATCATCGTGGAACAGAGCCAGGGACGATATGATTTCATGTGAAGTGGGCTCCCCTTGTCTCGCCTTGGAAATTTTTTTGAGCTTTTGTTCTGAAATATAATCAATATAGTTTACCAGAAAATAACTGATTCAATTCTATGATTACATACCCTTAGTGCATAATATGAAGTTGTGGATGGTAAATAAACTCCTTTATAAATGTTATAACATATGTTAATCTCAAGTAGGCAATGCCGTAGCTTTTGCTGAAAGTTAGTAACCCAATTAGCCTTATTTCAAAAATTATTTTAATTAGAATTTTAGCACAGAATATTACAATAAGACAATTATTAATGCTACACATTTAAACAGCCCATGAAAGACAAAAATTGAATTTTCAAAGACCCAAAGAATCTGGCATAAGAGTTAAATAGAGATAAATCTCCAGAATAGAAACCTGTCACCGAACTGGGAAACACTGATTTATACCATCTAGGCCTACTTATAAATTATACCACTACTAAACTATTATATTAGATGATTCATTTACTACACAAGTCTAGTACTTATTGTGTCTCAATTTATTATTTTTAGACCTTTTTTTTTACCTTCTACTTATACTTATGAGTTATAACTTAAACTTATAAGTACAAGTCTTAACTTGGTAAACTTGGTTTACAGACTAGTATACTACAAGACCAAAAATTTACTAGGTACAGTACTATATAAAACTATAAACAGGCCGCTCGAACTAGTATAGCCAAGTAATACTATACTGAGCATAGATTTGTGCAGTGCTTCTCAATTTTTTTTCAGCCAACGACCCCCTTGGCACTATAAATTTATCCCTAGGGCCCTCTCAAGTTAATTCAGGACAGCAGTTTGCACAACTCTGAGAAAAATAACAACGCAATAAAAAATGTATCAAGGTGAACTTGTAATCACAATATAAAGAAAGCTTTTTATTTTTTATCATTCCATCAATACCACAATTTTTTAGCATAGAATTGTGATAAGTACTTATGATGGCTGATTTCTATGCTAGAGAAATAATTTATGTCTTGTGTATAAACTGTGATAATTGTAAAATGTTTTCTTTTTAAAATATTATTTTATGTGCTGAAAATGAATATGTTCATGTAATTTTAAAAAATTACATTTATTTGTATCAATAAAGAATCTTATCTTATAAGTTCTACCTTACATAACAAAAAATTTACATAATGAGCCAAGACCTAATAAAGTTAATGCAAAGCAAGTCATAATAGAATTATTAGGCGTTAGATTCCACTTCTTTAGCATGATGGTAACCATCTCTGACAAGACTTTGTCATAGATAATATACATATTTTCTTGCGTAAAAACTGACATTCATAACAATTAAATGTTATTTATATCCCCAGATTAGATAAGCATAATGATTTGATTTATTTCTGCATCCAATTATGTTTAGGAAGGTCTTAAATTATTACTAATCCTGTATATTTATTTCATCCATTTGTACTGTTTGAAATATCAAAAGTTTTCAAAAATTAAAATGTGGGGAAAAGTTATCTCTGACTAATCTCTTTTTCAAGGCTGATAAATATAAATGCATTTAATCTCTTTTCAAAGGTTATATATAATTTATAATTTTATAATTTTAATTTTTTTTTAAAAATATTAGACAATGTAAGCTTGACATTTCACTCCAGATTCTGATGAAACACCTCCCTTTTTTAGTCGGGGATTGTTTCTCTTGATATAGAAATATATATATATATATATATACGCTTATGGAATGTTTTTGATTGATAGACTTTTAAAATTAATATTTCATAGGGTGGTTAATTATAATATTTCAAATCAAAACAAGGCCATTTTATTTTGAATGGGTCATCCATTTTGACAGGGTTATCATCAGATCATTTTGTAAAAATGGATTTTGACTTTTCTAACATATTTTGGATTTATAAAGTGTATAATAGTGTATTTGATGAAACTGTAAGTTGGGTTATCATTCTTTTGAATATTTAAAATATTATTTTAATCATTTTATTCAAATTTGCAATTTTCTCTGTAGTGTGTAACAGACGCACACAAAAACATGATTTAAGGGTTCAGGTTAGCCTTTAAATCATCAATTTTAAGTTTGAAGATTTCAGCCATGTCACCAAACACTATGTTAGGGGGACTTAATTTAGGGGTTCAATTTACACTTGAGTTGGGGGTACTAAATTTAGGGGTAAAATTACACTTGAGTTAGGGATAATGACTTAGCATTCAGGTTTGGCAGAGTTGTAGATTGTTTACTTCAAGGTTTTTCGCACCAAAAAAAATGTAATAAAATTTGCACAATTTTAAAAAATATTTTTACGTTTCTTTCCTAAGAAGTGTGTTGATTTTCAAGGAGGCTGTTTTTTGCACTACATTATATTTTCACATGTGGTGTCATGGCCACAAAAATGGCAGAGTGTAAAAAAAAATGTAATGCTAAACACAGTAGAACAGGGGAAAGTCCAGCGAACAATTATAAAAATCTTTTCTCATATAATCCACCACCAACTCCTTGAGTAATCCTAGCTCATCCTCGCCCCATAAATCTACAGAGCATTTTAACAAACACACAACCCCCTCCCAAATCAGCAATATCACCACCCTATGAGGGGCTGGTACCGCCCACTTTCAGAACCAATGGCCTAGATTTATATTAAAATTATATATTCTATTACACCATATCAGTATCATAATCATATTTATTGTAATGTATAGTCCCTACTGAAAGTTATACTGCTGTCTTAAAAGTAGTGAGCAATAGTAGCCTTTGTAGTAGTGATTTATAATTGAGTTAATTATTAATTAGTATTTGATAGTTATTAAATAGTAATATAACAATGTAATAAAATAAATAATTTGAATATAATAACAATAATTCAATAAATATATTATATAATTTATAAATTTATAATAAATAATATTTTCATATTTCGTACCGAGAGATTGTATATATTTTTCTGAGTCAATCATCTGGTGTAAAGGATTAGCAGGGATCGGATTTATTGCAAGATTTTGGAGTGTCGTTAAATCCTCATCAAGAGGCAACCAGGGATCGTTATTTCGTTTAAAATTCTCCATCTTCATCTCAGTTTTCTTTTCTGGATCGGATGTCAAACGAGCTCTTTTTTGTAAAAAGTTTAATAACTACTACTTCAATAACAATTTTTATAAAGGTGGATTAGAATTAATAATTGTTTAATAATAATGGGAAACATTCTGCATTGTTAGACTACAGTTAGATCCATGTCATTTGACAAGTCCCACAAAACAAAAAATTATATCAATACGCAAAAGAATTAATTAATTATATATTTTTTTAACGAAATGGCTATTCGCCTGAAGAAGCAAGTTTACAAACATATAGTCCATTCAATTATCTTTCATTTGATACCTCATTTTTATCTTACAAACCCAGCAATAATATTTTAAATAGTTTTTTAATCCCAAACTCTCACTTCTGATACCCGGGTGCGAATAGTCACAGCCTTTTTTTTTAATTTAGAAAAACTTTGCAGAGGTCCCACACCTTTCTACATATTATAGCACTTTCACGTTGAATGTACTATTTTTTACAACATTTGTATGACCGCAATCCAAAATTGTAATAATAATTGCATTTCTGCCTAACTGCGACTTCTACTAAATAATAAATATAATATTAGGAGCGAATTCTTCATACGTGATTTATAAATATCTCAGAACATCTTATCTCATTGATTTATATATTACTCAGAAAATCTGATCTCAATGATTTATATAATCATGTCAGACAGGGACGTCATTTCAACAACAATAATTACCGAAAAAAAAACAACTGCTCCGGCTTGTTGAGTTGTTTATTTTGTCTGCATGCACAAACACATTCTGCAAGATATGGGCAATAATATTTTGTCAACCACAATTTATCACTTTATGGAAAAGATATTGTTAGAAAATTGGTTTGATGTATTTATTTATATTTGATACAGTTAGCCTTGTAAACGATGTGAAAAATTTATGTAAACGCCAGTTTCGTCAATACATCCAAAGTATTAAACCGATTTGCTCAAACAAAAAGGGTATCGTCTTTGTTTCGGACGACCAAACTCATCAATAATTTCGTCAATGTTCACATTTTTTGCATCTTCTTGGGGGCATGCAATTACCTAAATATCAATTAGTCCTGTGTCTCCACAAGCACCAGCAGATCACTGAGTCGTGTGTCTCCACCATTACCAGCAGATCACTGAGTCGTGTGTCTCCACCATTACCAGCAGATCACTGAGTCGTGTGTCTCCACCATTACCAGCAGATCACTGAGTCGTGTGTCTCCACCATTACCAGCAGATCACTGAGTCGTGTGTCTCCACCATTACCAGCAGATCACTGAGTCGTGTGTCTCCAACATTACCAGCAGATCACTGAGTCGTGTGTCTCCAACATTACCAGCAGATCACTGAGTCGTGTGTCTATTAATATATTCATTTAACTAATAAAAACGTTCAACAGGTTGATGTCACCGGCAAGGTCAAGAAAAGGTCGATTACTTTCAAGAGGTCAGTCACTAAACCACGTGGCAGACGACTCAATCATATTCGAAGTTGATGTATGTTCAACAATGTGTCATTTTTTACTCTGCTGACGTGCAGTGTCCAGATATTGTTCACAGTCTTTCTCGTACTTGAGGAGAAAGCTCACCCACTGTCAAGAGCAGCTCAACAGAATTGCCTTCGTTTGACGATTCTTTTGCTCCAACGTCACCATTAAACGTCAAATCTTGACCCTGACCTTGACCCCGATGAGTTAGATTTGAAGTCGCTAAAATGGGAAACTTGTGATGGTCCCTGTTTTCCAGAAAATCTTACTTTCTCTGAACATTTATCAGATTTGCTACCGATTCAGCCTTAAATGCTGACACATTCTTTTCTTGCGCCCATAGCACTGATCCATCTTTGTGCTTGCGCCCATAGCACTGATCCATCTTGGTGCTTGTGTCCATAGCACTGATCCATCTTTGTGCTTGCTACTGGACTCATGCTGTGTCAACAATTCTTTCGTACTTTTCATTTTCTGAATCCTTAATCTTTTTCTTTTCCGTATTTATGTCTTGCTACGTTGATTGTATGTCGTCCAAGATACCGGTACATTTATTGAACGATTCAGGGGGAGGGGTGGAATGCCCCCCCCCCCTGCCCTCATCCCCAAATGACGACCCTGGTGTCTGAACATCTGATCGCAATATTCATATATATGTCAGAACATCTGATCTCAACGATTGTAATCTGATGTCAGAACGTTCGATTTTGAAAAGTACCCCCATTATGAAAGTACAGTATATCATATTCATTGTACGTGTTTCTGTACGGAGATAATGCAGATATACAACAGAACTAGAAATAATCCCAAAGTATGTTGAGATACATTATCTACGCCTGTTATTTATCAGTTCAGAGGAGATACCCTAAGCACATCTGTCCCAACTGTGCTGCCCTGTGTAGTTATAAAGCATTTATTGATGAGGTCCCTTAATTTCTACGTTTAGTCCAGCTGAGTGCAGCCCGGTGCTGTTTTTATCTCCAGTCCGGTGGAGTACAATTCCGTTGTTGGCAGTCGTCGTCTTGGGTTGATTCAGTTGTTAACATTACCATGTCGGTGATAGGATGAGTGAAAAAAAAAAATCCTTACAAAATTAAATTCGTCTCGATACGTTTAGCAATAATTCATCAATATAAATTGGTGATGTGATACTCTAGTTAATGTCAATAATTGGTGATGTGAGACTCTAGTTAATGTCAATAATTGGTGATGTGATACTCTAGTTAATGTCAATAATTGGTGATGTGAGACTCTAGTTAATGTCAATAATTGGTGATGTGAGACTCTAGTTAATGTCAATAATTGGTGATGTGAGACTCTAGTTAATGTCAATAATTGGTGATGTGTTACTCTAGTTAATGCCAATGTGATATCCTACTGGTAGCATCAACCAACTTTTCAACCAGCTCATCGCACGGACTAACTACTGTTTACCGAATAGCTTTCTGTGACGGAATGGAATAGACGATACCTGCACTCCCACAATGATCTAAAGTCAATCGGCCAAACACTCACAATGGATCTGTCGTGTTTCTGGGTCTGGCTGCGGAGATTCTTTAGGCGAAAGTTCCACTCTACGGGTGGGACGTTTTATTCCCAGCAGACGGGGTCCCACCAGGTGTTCGTTAACTTCGTCAACTCGCAGACCCAAACGGAAGCCGAGCAGGTGAGATCGCTGGAAATAGAACTGTTCTCCTGGACCAAAAACTCCTGCCGGTCGCTGGAAATACCCTTAAACATCGGCCGGTTCCACCACTTGTTGTCACTGACCGTGACCGGGTGTGGTTTGACCAACCTGCCCTGGTCATTCGTTTATCTCAAGTCGCTCGTCTACCTGGACTTGTCTCACAACAAATTTATCTGCCTTCCGAACTTCATCGGCTGCTTGACCAGTCTGGAGACATTGAACTTGGAATCCAACACCCTGATGATGCTGCCGACGGCGCTCATTGAGCTCACAAACCTGAAGATTCTAAATCTCGCCAACAACGAAACCCTCGTGGCCCCGTCGTACGCCATTTGCATGAGAGGCATCCCCACGGTCATGAGAGCTCTGGCGATGCGAAGCTCGCGGAAAAACCTGTGGCAAAATTCTAAAGCTTACTACGATCCTGCAGACTCTACCACGGAAGCCGCTGGAGACGTGCCCACGCTGGTCGTTCTCGCCGTGAACGTCATTCTCCAGTCCGACCTCGACTACCTCTCGCAGGCGCACGTTCCCAAGAAACTCAAGAGTCTGATCCGGGAAAAGCTGGACGAGAAGAGAAAATCGCTCAACGTCGCCAAGTGCAGCAGTTGTATGACCTACTTCTCTAACGTCATTGAATTCGAGGGTCACGTGTGCAAACAGCAATCGATTTAGTTGTCTTAATGGAAACTAATTTTTTTTTTATTAAGATGTGCCATGTTGCTGTAAAGTTAACTTGACGTTGGCTACACATGGATGATGGAAAAACAGCTTGTGAAACGTTTTTTAAAATAAATTTTAGGGTGTTCTTATCTGGGCCTGACTTGACTTAACTGGCTGAACCCGATTGGCTGGACCTAACAAACTGGACCTAACTGACTGGATTTAACGGGCTAGACTTAACAAACTGAACCCAACTAACTTGACCTAAACAACAGGACTTAACTGGCTGGACCTGACTGGCTAGACCTAACAATAAAATATAACTTAGCTTATTGGACCACACTGACTCGACTTCACTGACTGGACTTAATTGGCTCGAAAAAATTAAAATTGACTGCCCCAGACTGTCAGGACCTAACTGTCAGAACCTACCTGACTGGACTTAACTGTCAGGACCGTACTGAATGGACTTAACTGTCAGGACCTAACTGACTGCACCAAACTGCCTGGACCTAAATGTCAGGACCTAACTTACTGGACCACACGGTCAGGATCTACCTTTTATTAATGGACCAAAATGTCAGGACCTAACTTCTATAACCAAAAGACCCAATACAAAGAACACACTATTTGATAAAAGATGTATTGTTTGTGCAAAGGAATCTAGTGTAGCTGCTCTTATAAAATTGTATCAACTCCCATCTTAATTGTTATCTTTGTCCTTTTATTTCAATATATTTAATGACTGCTCCACTCAAAACTTATCTTCTTTTTTTTTTAAATTTCTTTTAAATGCACTATTTTAATGTAACATTTTAATCATGACAATAATATATTGGCTGTCTTTATGCACGATTTTTTAATTATAAAGCTTCAGTAATTCTTGATACAAAAATTTTAAAAAATTTAAATGTGTTGGCGAAAAAGAGTTACCATTTATTTTCTGTTATTTATTCATTAGGAAAAACCCGATAGCTACAAGTGTAATATTTAAACATTAGAACCAAAAGAGTTCCCAAGTTTAAACACGCGCAAATACAATGATAATAAATGACCACTATTAGTACTCATCATATTTGTTTAAAGCATATCCAGGTCCATGGTTAATAAGTTGTGATCCTTTGGTATATTCTCAGTGATTTCTTTTGTTTCATCGTTCTGTTATTCAGTACAAGGGATACTAATCGCCACCTTGTTTTATTGTAAGAATCACCTGGGCAGTTTCACAGATTGAAAAAAAAGAATCTGTTCTTTGACCTTTCCAGCAATATTATTGGTGTTAAAAAGTTTTACAAACTGGCCACATGCAGATTCTTTTCGTTTATTTGAATGCCCTCCCCACCCCCCCCCCTTTTAAAAAAAAAAAAAAAAAAAAAAACTTTTTTCCACAACACAACTTTAGGCCCATTAAATATCTGAGGCCCTTTCAGCCACATTGGGGAAGGGGGTGTCTATGACCCATAAGATCACAGTGTTTGAGTGACAATCTGTGTGTTTCTTTGAGCCAAATCTTGTCATTTATTTGCGAACTTCTTCCCCGGAACAGATTTTATTAGAATTTTTTTTTCTGTACACACGTGTATTTTCTGTGAATATTTCGTGACAGTTGAACAAAATGTATTATTCTGTGTGATCCTTGAGACGTTGAGTGGAAAAAAAGTCATTGAAAACAAATGTGTAGCCAGCGGTGTTCGTTGGATAAACAACACATTTTTTTAAACAAAACAGTAATTATCTATTTAGTGGTCGCCGTGTATTTCATTGATACCTTATCTTATCAAATATGGTGGTGTATCGGAAATTATTATTATTTTTTTATTTTTTTTTTTGGTTATTAATAATACACATTACCATAACATTCTGTACAGAAATATGTATATTTTTTTAAAAAATTTATTATAATACACATTACTAAAACATTCTGTAATACACATTACTAAAACATTCTGTAATACACATTACTAAAACATTCTGTAATACACATTACTAAAACATTCTGTAATACACATTACTAAAACATTCTGTAATACACATTACTAAAACATTCTGTAATACACATTACTAAAACATTCTGTAATACACATTACTAAAACATTCTGTAAAGAACGATATGTTTCTTTTTTTTTTTCTGTAATACACATTACTAAAACATTCTGTAATACACATTACTAAAACATTCTGTAAAGAACGATATGTTTCTTTTTTTTTTTTTTTTATTCTTTTTTTATAACCATACACATTTCTAGAACAGCCTGTAAAGGACGACATATTTGTTTTATCCAGTTAATCTAGTGTTGAAAATGTTATCTTTAAATTTTTTTTATAGCGCTCGAGTCATTGTATAGGTTAGGTTTAGTTGTTGTTTATTTGTGAACCAGAAATAGCCCGCCAAACAGTGGTGGGCACGGGGCGTGAACCTCCCATCTACTAGAGTTATCTGACAGAAAGTGCACCCAAGTAACGCTCTTTATTAAAAAAAACACACAAAAAACTAACCAATTGTTGCTCTTTTCTGGGAATTGTATTGTGCGCGCCTTTTGAACACAGCACTATTGCAACATACAAACAATACCATGCAGAGAATTATTATTTGGGATGGAGTCCATATAGTTTTATGATGATATGCATACAATTAGGATGGTATAAACTGCATTGATAATTTGGTGATAGGTTGCCTCATTAGTATTCTTTTCAAAAAATAAAACTCGAATTTATTTCACTTCATGGTTCATTTTAAAACTTTATTTTATAATTTGTCACAATCTACCATTTTTCACACTCTAGTATTTGTCTCAATCTACCATTTTTCACACTCTAGTATTTGTCACAATCTACCATTTTCCCCACTAGTATTTGTCACAATCTACCATTTTTCACACTCTAATATTTGTCACAATCTACCTTTTTTCACACTCTAGTATTTGTCACAATCTACCATTTTTCACACTCTAGTATTGTCACAATCTACCTTTTTTCACACTCTAATATTTGTCAATCTACCTTTTTCACACTAGTAATTGTCACAATCTAACTAACTTTTCATATTTTTCACATTCTAGTATTTTTCACAATCTACCATTTTTCACACTAGTGTGTCACTTAAACAAAATCTTATACTCCACACTTTGATCAATATTTTTTTCCTTCATGGGACGTCACTTTAGCAGTACTTTAAGAAATGTATATTTCATGAATTATCTCCCTATGATTGTCTCCAACATGTGTCGAGATAATCATGTACCGGTACCTTAAACTTGCAAAATTTGTAGATCCTAACATTGCCGATTTATCGTTATGCAACTGTTACTACAGCTGTTTTGTTGTGAACTATCCATTTTTTTTTACACCTGTCTTCTAACTTAACCGTGAACCCATCCACGTCCCACCATTAAATCCACGTCCCACCATTAATTTCTCTACACTACAATCTGAGTCAATAATAGTTAAATAATTCTGCCCAACACATTCACCTTCCACTAACATTAAACACGGCATCCGGCAGCACCGACACTGCAGCCGAAACTATCGCCAACTCTTGGTTGCATTTTTTTTTTTTTAGGTCTTTTTTGTTTGTTTGTTTGTTTGTCTGTTTGTTTTTAACAGTTCTGCTGGAACTGAATAGTTTTAGACATCCTTTAATCTATTTATGACGCCGTAAAGGTCATTCGATGCCACTGGTTAACAACAACGTACAGCAGACCCAGTTCAACTTACGTTCTTTTAAGCTTTAAAATTTGCTCCCCCATCAAATCGTGCCACGCCTTCCACACCACCCCCACCCCACCCCCCTCTCCTTCAGCCCGTCAGGGTCAATGACCCTTCGGGTCAATTTAGGTCAAGTCGTAGGCCAGGGGTAAAATTGCTAGTGGTACAGGTGTGGCTAATAATCCGGATAGGCGATGCCTTAACAGATGCAATGGCTACTGGCCGTTCGGCTGACTGTATCATAAACCACAGTCTGCCGCTAGGGCAGCTGTTGGCATAAACCACATTCTGTCTCTGGGGGCAGCTTTTGGCATATACTGCAGCCTTTATCTGTGAGCTGCTGTTTGGCGGCATGGCATATACCTTAACCCTTTCTCTGTGGACAGCTGTTGGCATATACTACATCCTCTCTCCGTGGGAAGCTGTTGGTATATACTGCAGCCTTTCTCTGGGAGAAGTTGTTGACACATACTACAGCCTGTATCTGGGGGGGGGGGGGCAGCTGTTGGCATATAATACAGCCTGTCTCTGGGGGCAGCTGTTGACATATACTACAACCTTTCCTTGGGGCAACTGTGGGCATATAAACACCCTTTTTATANATATACTGCAGCCTTTATCTGTGAGCTGCTGTTTGGCGGCATGGCATATACCTTAACCCTTTCTCTGTGGACAGCTGTTGGCATATACTACATCCTCTCTCCGTGGGAAGCTGTTGGTATATACTGCAGCCTTTCTCTGGGAGAAGTTGTTGACACATACTACAGCCTGTATCTGGGGGGGGGGGGCAGCTGTTGGCATATAATACAGCCTGTCTCTGGGGGCAGCTGTTGACATATACTACAACCTTTCCTTGGGGCAACTGTTGGCATATAAACAGCCTGTTTATAGGTAAGCTGTTGGCAATACTGCAGCCTGTCTCTGTTGAAAGCTGTTGGCTGACTCCAGAGGTTAAACAAGTAGCAACATGGTTCAGAAATCTTAGATCTAAATGTATTTATTGTTTAATCCTGCCCACTCTATTACTATAACTTAAGAAACACACAGTTTCAGAACAACGATCATATTTTTATATCAAAGGAATTCTCTGATACACAAACCAGAAGGACAGAGACATTGAACATTTTTTATCACGATCATTTCAAACTGACCAGGCCATAACAGACATCTCTCCCACTGACCAGGCCATAACAGACATCTCTCCCACTGACCAGGCCATAACAGACATCTCTCCCACATCAGGCCATAACAGACATCTGTCCCACTGACCAGGCCATAAAAGACATCTCTCCCACTGACCAGGCCGTAACAGACATCTCTCCCACTGACCACGCCATAAAAGACATCTCTCCCACAGACCACGCCGTAACACACATCTCTCCCACTGACCAGGCCAATATAGACATCTCTCCCACTGACCACGACATAACACACATCTCTCCCAC